GCGCCGCCCTCGCCGCCCTTCAGCTTCCAGCTGCCGCGCCGCCTGTCCGAGTCGCCCGTGTTCGACGCCCCGCCCAGCCCCCCGGACTCGCTGTCGGACCGCGACAGCTACCTGAGCGGCTCCCTGAGCTCGGGCAGCCTCAGCGGCTCCGAGTCCCCCAGCCTCGATCCCGGCCGCCGCCTGCCCATCTTCAGCCGCCTGTCCATCTCCGACGACTGAGGCAAGGAGGCGCCAGAAAGGAGGAGGAGGAGGAAGGGAGAGGCCGCGGGGGGGGGGCGGTGGTTGGAGGGAGCCCTTCGCATCCCACCCCTGCGGGGGGGGGCACAGAGGTCGGGATGGCCAGCACATGGCAGACTTGCAGAGCCCTCCCCCCCCCCCCGCCGAGCGTGTGGACTCGAACTTTGCTCTGGGAGGGGGATGTTTTCCCTCCCCCTTCGGTTTTCTCATTTTGTCTATTATTATTTTTATTATTATTATATTATTATTACGAAGTTTCTTGTTGAGCAAAAAAAAAAAAGCCAACGAACTTTTTGTATTCATGAACAAAATACTCACAACAGAGCAGTTGTGTTGCGAATAGAACAAAAACAACCAAACACTTAAAACTTTTTTTTAGGTCTCTGAGTTTGAGACTCTAGGAAAAGTCAGCCCAGCACCAGCAGCTACCAACCACCATTCCATCTCTTCACTTGAAAAGCGTTTAGTGACAGTCCAGATGTGGGAACTTGTGAAAGAAGTTCCTAATTGTTTGTCTCAGACCAGTGTAAACAAACCAGCCGGCCACCACCTTGCTAAACTGTAAGCTTTTAGAATCCAATACTCTGCCAAGAATATGCCTTGATAGTAGTAGTTCTCAAACCCTTTGTTGTGTGTGGGGTTTTTTTTTCTTTTTTTAACTTTAACAAAGTTATATATGTATTGGGGGGGATCCTTGCATTCCAAAGTTTGATACTGGTTACTGGTTTTATTGTCACCACTTGGGGTGTTTAGTTTAGAACCATTTGTCTGCTCTCTCTGGAAGCCTTGGGCAGAGCTTAGTTTGTAATTGTTGGGGAATAACTGCTGAATTTTTAGCTGTTTTGAGTTGATTCGCACCACTGCACCACAACTCAATATGAAAAAAAAAACCTATTTAACTTATTTATTATCTTGTGAAAAGTATACATTGAAAATTTTGTTCATACTGTATTTATCAAGTATGATGGAAAGCAATAGATATATATTCTTTTATTATGTTAAATTATGATTGCCATTATTAATCGGCAAAATGTGGAGTGTATGTTCTTTTCACAGTAATATATGCCTTTTGTAACTTCACTTGGTTATTTTATTGTAAATGAGTAAAAAAATCTTAATTTAAGAGATTGTATGTAATATTTATTTCATTAATTTCTTTCCTTGTTTACGTAAATTTCGAAAGATTGCGTGATTTCTTAACAGAAATCTACCTTGATGCTGTGGAAGTAGTTCGAGGAATATTTTTTATGAGTTTTCTTAGAATGTATAATGGTTGTAGCCCATCCAGCTTAGAAAAAAAAAATGACCACATACTTTGCAATCAGGCTCACATGTGGCATGCTTTTCTAACTGCAAACTAGCAAAAAAAAAAAGTGTTTCCTGAGACCACCAGTTTGAACTGTGACATACTCTTGAGTATAAAGACATGTAGCAATAATGAGGAGGGGAATATCCCAGTGCCTTCAGACGGCCCAAACTTGCCTTAAATCCTCCTCAACCAAATAAGTATTGTGTGTATTAGTGCTTGAGAGAATCTGAATGTAGGATGGGTTCAACTGCACAAAAGGAAAAGATTTTTTTACCACTTTTTTATATAGCTATAGAGAGGGCACCTCATAGTGCTGAGATGATGTATGCAGAACATGAAGATGCCTTGTTTCATGACAGAAGATTCCAAAACTTGGACAATTTCTTTTTTTTTTCAGTTGTAGAAAGGCAAGAATGTCTGAAGCTTTCCTGGACAGCAGATGAATGAGCAGTAGCTTAGATTTGTAGGTACAGTTGGAGCACTATTGTGTATGTATTCTCTGGACTACTTTGACAGAAGTAGGTTTTTGAATGTAACAAGATAAGTCAACTTGAGTTGTAATATATTTTGGGGAATCAGTTCACTACAAATTGTGACTGTAAACATTGTACTGTAAATGTTTTGTAGTTTTCCCCCAATAAAATTTTTGGGAAAAAAAGGTACTAATGCACATTTGTTTTTTTGTAACACAAGAGAGTCTCTTCCTGTGGCCTCTGGCACTACCCAGGTTTTCACAGGGTGGGGAGGGAGGGTAGGAGTGTTGGCAGAGCTCTGCAGAGCCTGTATCCACTTGTACCTGTATTTATTTTATAGCAAGTTCTTTTTAGCTGAAAGAAATGATTCGGACTGTCAAGGGCATTAGTTGTTCCCTTTGGTAATGAGATGCATCCCAGAGTTGGCTGACTGGTGGCAGATCCTGGCGGGAGACTTTTAAGGGGTGTGGCTCGCCTGTGAGTCACCCAGTGGGGTCACGTGGCTGCTAGTGGCAGCAGAAGGTCCAGTTTTTCTCTAGGCCACTGCCTGCCCACAGCCTGTAGGGCTTTAGTGTCCTGATCTGGAGGGGAGCGTGTAGGCCAGAGCCTGGGTTGGGGAGCTAGGCTTCTGCCTGGACTTTGGAAAGCCCTGGCTGTGTCCTTTACAGAGAGAGGGAGGGAAGATAAAGCAAGTTAAACTTATATCTGGATGATGTTTGTTTATGCAGACAACTTCCTCTGGGAGTGAGCACATAACCCACTATTTATGCAAAAGGAATTAAGAGTCTGGGCTTCAGACGACTAGAAGGCTTCTAGTCTAGGAAGCAAATTCAATCCAGGCTTCTAGAAAGAAGAAAAAAAAAAGACTGCATTGATTTGACTGGGTTCCCAAAACAGTTGAGCAAACTTACTGTGGCTGACATTTTTTTCCTGATCACTTTAAAGCAAAATCAGGTTCATAATTCTTGTTTTCCTTCTCTACCTCCCCCTCCTGCACAAGTAGCCACAGACACTTTCCAAAGTAGGTAAGAGATTTAGCAATAGTTTGCTTTCTTACCAACAACAGCTGGGCTCCATCAACCAATCTTTGCATCCCCTCTTAATGGCCCTGCCTTTGCCAGGGTCTCTGGTGACTCACAGCTGAGCTGGGGGGGGGGGGGAAGGGCAAGGGACGGATGTGCCTGGCCTGGGCAGCTGTTTGGAGTTAAGGATGATGGCGCTGGTGTTCACTGGAGCATTTTTCTGGTGCTTGGCCCAGGCTGCCAATAGGAATGGAGAGCAGTTTGAAAATTCTCCCAGATGCTGAGCCTCGGTATTGGGAGGGGAGGGGAAGCCAGAGGCCAAGGAGGGCCTGGGCTGGGTGAAGACCCTGCTGCTCCCAGGCTGGGACACCATAAAGAATGTGCAACGGGGAGGAAACAGCTAGAATGTGGTGCTATTGAGGCCAAGCTGCATTTCAAAGGCCTCGTTTCCACTTAGTTCCCAAACTTATTTTTCTAAACAAGTACTTTTGATGGATTGGAATGTTAGACTTCTTTTGGGGGTAAGCCACATTCTTTTTTTTTTTTATTACTCTGTTTGAAAGCCCAACGGCTAGGATTTAAAGTTTGTGTTTTAGACCCAGCGGAGTGTGGAAAGCTCAGGGGATCATTCAGAAATTTCCTCTTACTGCACTTCAATGGAGGGTCCTGGGTCATTGTCCTTCTGCAGTGGCTGGAATTAACAGCAGACACTAGTGCTTCATCATCCTTGGGCCTGTTTTCTTGTCAATCCAGGAAACAGAAGTAAAACTTGCAAGTAAGGACAAAGTAGGATTGCCATGACAGGCTCTGCCAAGTCAACTAGAGCTGAAGATGGCTCCAGGCTGAGTCAAGATAGAATTCTTTCATGGTCAGGCTTTCTGACAATGAGCCCAGAATGGGGTCCTGGAAGATGTTCCACTGGCTGATTAAAGACCAAAGCAGCCCAGTTCATATGGCCCAACTTCTAAATAATTTCAGAGAGAGGATGTGTGCACGTACATATTTTCGACCCTTCACACTGTCTGGATCCATTGCTAAGTGTGCAGGAGAGGGGAAAAAAAAGCACAAAAGAGAAAAACTATGGAGAAAGCCAAAGTTTTGTACTGTCCCATAGGAATCAATCAGTGGAGGGTTGAGTCCAGGCATGCATGTGGCTCCCGATACAGGACAGACAGCAAGCATAGCTCTGGGCTATCAGGTCCTGAACCTTGGGAGCAAACCAACCTCTGACATCCACTGTCCTCCAGCTTTGCTGCTGGTGACAAGTGAGGGCAGAAGTGACTCTTACCTAGCTTCCTTGAAACTGGAAGTTGGCTCTCTACACAAGCCCTTGCAGGCTGGCCAACTGCTGGGCTGAGGCTAGTCTGGTTTATCTCCCATCAGTGGCCCATAGCCACTCCCCATTCTCCACTCATGTCACCTTTATGTGTATGTGTGAAAGCGCGTGGGTACTGGTACTGGGGCTTGAACTCAGGGCCTAGGCACTGTCCTTGAGCTTTTACTCAAAGTTAGTGCTCTACCACTTGAGCCACAATTCCACTTCTAGCATTTTTTCTAGGGGGGGGGGTGGTTAATTGGCAGGAAGAGTCTCTCAGACTTTCTACCTAGGCTGCTTTTCAATGGCGATTTTCACATCTCACCCTTCTGAGTAGCTAGGATTACTGGTATGAGCCACCACTGGTGCCCAGCTGTATTTCTTCTTCTCTTCGCTCTCTCTCAGAGGATGTAGGCATCCAGGGCAGTCTCAGCTCAAAGCTGCCAGCAAGACCCAGGAGGGAGGAGGGAAAGGGGGAAGGCAAGGAGGAAGGTGGGGTGGGGCCAAGGCCCAGAGGCTGCACAGGCCTGGCCCAGGCCAAGCCCTGCAGGAAGAAAGCTGGAGCTGCTGAGTACCGCACCTCTTCTCCCAACCTTCCTGACTGTGGGCAGGACCTTGAAAGTGCGTGTGTGCCGTCAGCTGTCTGTGTGTACAGAGGGTTGTCTCCGGAAGGGTGCCTGTCTGGGTGCCTATGTGAGAAGCATGTGTGTGTGTGTGTGTGTGTGTGTGTGTGTGTGTGTGTGTGTCCTTGTATGAAGGTACACAAATATTTGTGGGCATTGAGGCTGTGTTTGGGGCTCTGTCAGGGGGTCAGTGGCTGCTGGCTCTGTGTGTTTATGTCCATAAATATCAATCTGCAGGGTGTGAGGGTGTCTGAGATGAAGGGCTGGTCTGTGGAGAGGTGTGTGTGGATCTGTGTAGTGTGGTTTGGGGGAGGGGGTGTTGCTGTGTGGTAGATTATGTGGAGCACTGGGATGTGGAGGTCTGTGGGTGTTCCTGTATGTTTGGGTCTGGGTGTGGGTGTGTGTAAAGGCTGAGTGTGTTCAGGTGCGAGTGTGTAAGTTTACGTGTGCGTATTGCTGTTTGTGGGTGTCTGTGGTTTGGGTGTGGCGGCCGCTATGGGGGTAGATGTACGGGTCCGGGGTGGTTGGGAGCTGTAAGCACAGCTGTGTGTTTGGGTCTGGAGGAGTCTGTAGCTGCAGCGGGGGTGACTATTTGTTGGGGTGGGGGGCAGTATGACTAACACCTACCGAGGAAAAGCAGTCCTTCTTAGAGGTCTCTTTCAAGTTAAAAACTGCTTTCAAAACCAGGAAATGACTGCCAGCCTGCCTTCCACTTCCTGCTGGGTGGCTGATGGGGGAGGGCAGGGTGGAAGGCGGACTTCAGGAACCCAGACCCACCTACGTTGCTGGTCTCACCTGCCAAGGACAGGCCTTCCAGGCCACTTGCTGAGCGCTGGGACATTTTTAGAAACAATTCATCCTCTGGGCAGGGGGCGGGGCCGCTTATTTTCATCTGGGCAGAAATAGCAGTTGTCAGATCGGTGACCTGGTGCCAGGAGAGGCAGTTCTGAAATAGGAAAGATATTAAGGACTCGAGACAGACCAGAAAACTCCTGAGCTCACCAAAACCAAGTTTAAAATATTTCTCTAAAAATAAGCTTTGTTTTCCTTGTGGATTCCTCTGGCAATCGGGCCTGTGTTCGGGTGCTCTGCTGCGCTGGGAAGCCAGGCAGAATTTTTTTTTTAAGTGAGTGTTTTCCAGCTGTGGCCTTGGAAAGTTCTCTGTTTTCCATTTATTAAACTCCTAGTTTCCGGCTAATTAAAATTATTTTCAAATAAAATTCTGTGGCCCAGCAGTATTTGATGAGACGCAGAATTCCCACTGACCCTTTTGCAAGAAGCTGGGCCAGCCCTGGGTGGCTCGTGTCTCCTCTAGAAGGCTCAGTGGCAGTTATCTAGGGAGGTGGACCTGGGCCTTTGGAATGCAGGCCCAGGGCCTGGACTGGACCCCACCTCCAGTAGAAGGCACTAAAGGCGGGCGGCCCTGGAGTAATTATTGCCTCAGGGCAATTGACTTTATGTGTAAGATCATATAAAATAAAATATATACTGTTTATTTATTCACCTTTATTTATTTCTTGCAGCTCAGAGTCTTGTACGTGCTGGGGTATAGTCCTGGCCCTTCAGGCTCTGGGTAATTGGAAACTAACTTAGATGTGTGACTGTGGGATGCTGTTACTGTACCTGACCTGGCTACCCTGTATGTATGTGTGTGTGTGTGTGTGTGTGTGTGCGTGTGCGTGCACGTGCACGCGTGAGTGCACGCATGTACTTTGGCTTGGTCTCATGGACTTTCCTGCTGGGATGGCTTCCTCACTCTCAGCCTCCTGAGTAGCTAGAATTACAAATGTGAGCTACTGGTACTGGGCTGTACCATTTCTGTTTTCAGAGTGATCTATTTTTTTGGGGGGGGAGGATTGCGGAGGTGATGGTATTGGAGATCAAACTTAGGGCCTTGCATTTGCTGGGCAAGTGCTGGACCACTGAGTTACATCCCCAGCCCATCTGTGGGGTTTTTATAATCACTTTGCTAATGTCTGTCTCTCTTGCTCACCGTGTTTCAAGAAAACTCTTTTGTTGTTGTTGTTGCTGGTCATGGGTCTTGAACTCTGGGCCTGGGCACTGCCCCTTAGCTCTTCAGCTCAAGGCTAGCACTCTACCACTTGAGCCACAGTGCCACTTCCAGTTTTCTAGTAGTTTATTGGAGATAAGAGTCTCATGGACTTTCCTGCTCGGGCTGGCTTTGAATGTGATCCTCAGATCTCAGCCTCCTGAGTAGCTAGGAT